GCAGGGGACGAGGTGGACGGGTGTTGAGAGGGGCTGGCGGGGGGATGCTGCGGCGGGGGCACGCCCCGCCGGAGGTAATAGTGAGCATCGTTGGCGCTGGTGACCCCGAACTCGCGACTGTCTGTTTGCCCTGCTGCTGCTGCGGCGAGGTGCTGCAGGCAAGGGGATGATGGCGTCCCGCCAATTGGTGAGGCGGACCACGCGCCCGCGCGCGCGCGCCCGGCGCACCTGCAGCCGCAGCGGCTTGCAGCCCAGCAGACGGAGGCGCTCGAACAGGGAGAGGCTGAGGCCGGCCTCCGCGGCGCGCTTGCACATGATGACGGGGCCCAGCTGGCAGTGGTCGCCCACCAGGATGACCTGGGCGCACGCGCAGGCGGCGGGAGGGGGAGGGGGCCGGCGGCCATTGGCGGCGCTGCATGTGTCCAGCAAAGAGCCCTGGAAATGGGGGTGCAGAGCGCATGGACACAAAAGGCGGCGCAGCCAGACCAAGGCGGCGAGCCGCTGGTGTGCAGCGCGCCGCCCGCCTCGAGGGCGCAGAGGGGGTTGGCTTGCGCGGCGCCTGTGGGGGCTCGTCGGTGTTGCCTCAACCCCACTCTCAAGCAGCATCAGCCGCGACCCCGTTACCCCTCAAGAAAACAGGGGCCTCGGCCCCTAAAGAGCCGCAGCCGGCCCGCCGTGACTGCACCCCAAAGCAGCGCCCGGCGGGGCGCGCCCCTCCCCCCACCTGCTTCGCGCCCAGCACGAGCGGCATGAGCGCCTCGGGCTCCGTGGCCTGCGTGGCCTCGTCCACCAGGACGTGCTGGAAGCGCAGCGCCGTCAGCCGCGGGTCGCCGGCGCCCACGCAGGTGCAGCAGACCACGTCGGCCGCCGCCATGATCTCCTTCTCCAGGCCCCTGTGGGGAGGGGGAGGGGCGCGAGGGTTTTGGGTTTGCGGGTCAGGGTTTTGGATCAAGGGCGGGTGGGCGGCCAGGGGGGGGGGGTGTAGGAGAGGTGTGTGCTGGGAGCGGCGCGGGTCGACTGAAGTTCAGGTACGCGCCCGGCAGGGCTCTGTTCGGAGGCGTCCGTCCGGCCAAGGGACGGTCATCTAAGCGCAGCCAGGGTGCCACTAGCTGTGCAGAAGCCCCCATAGCTGGATGCGGAGCAGCAAGCACCGCGCTGAAAACGAGGGGGACAAGCGCCGCCGCAGGCCGCCCTGCAGCTGCGCTGCTGCCGCGCCCCGGCCCTCTTTACCTGCGCAGCTGCACGAATTGGCGCTCGTCGCTGGCGCTGAGGCCGCCCTTCTCCGACTTGAGCAGCTGCAGCTTGCGGAACACCTCGGCGCCGGGCAGGTCCAGGTTGGCCACCTGCGGGCGCAGCCATGATGATGATTGTTTCGACGGGGGAATATGCAGGTGGGTGTGCCGCATGGCGAAAGAGTGTGTATGTTAAGGAAATGGAGTTGCGTGGCGCCGCCATGACGTAGTCATGCCGCTTGTTGAGCGCCCCGCCGCGAGCAGAGTGCGGCCATGGCTGCGCCGCTGTCGGGCGCTGGGGCCTGGGAGGGCAGGTTCTGAGAGCCCACAGAGCACAACCTGTGCCTCAGCGCCAGCAGCAGCCCAACCAAACGCACACGCACACGCACGCACACGCACATACGCGCACAAACACACACACACACACACACACACACGCGCACACGCACACACACACACACGCGCGCGCGCACACAGATATACACACACAGCGACACAACACACACACGGATTTTGGGTCTTGTTCGCGCGCGAGCATGTACACACCACACCTGGTAGTGCAAGGTGAGGTGCTCCACCGGCGACGCGACCGCCTCGCGCGTCTTGGCGCACACGCGCACCACCTTGAGCCCCGTGGCCGCCACCTTCTCCGCCAGCTGGTCCACCGCCACGTTGGACGGCGCAGACACCAGCACCTGGGGAGGCGTCAAAGTCAGGGGGGTGCAGCGCAGGCGGGGGTGGGACGGTCGGTTGGAGGTGGACAGTGGTGGTGATGGCGGTGCTGGTGGGACCGCCTCTGCAGTGAGGGGGCCTGGACGGTGGCGGCACCGTGGCAGCAGCAGGATTGCGTGATGTGCCTTCGTCGCCGCGTCCACCTGCACCCAGGCACCTGAAGGTCCCCCCACCTGCGCAGCGGCGTCAACAACCCAGGCCGATCATGCCCGCTCTCGCCCCCCCCCACCC